TATATATATATATATATATATATATATATATATGTATATAAACAGTATGACCTTTTTTTGCACTTTTTCTCTTCTTTCTTGATTTACGATTAACGTCATACTCGTACACTTGCACCTTTTTGTAGTACAAATGGCGTATGAGAAGAATAAGCGGCTAGTTTTGTCGAGTAAATCGGTATTACTTTCTATTCTTCTTTTTCATCCCTTCTAATAAAGAGATCTGCGGCTTCTTTGGTTTGAAATAGAAAAATGTTGGTGTCGAGAAATATTCAGCCGGTTGAAGAATTTCGGTTGTTTTAGCTAAGTACTTGGTTCCTTATTATCAGCTCCAGGTGTGACTTAGATCAGGATTTGCATGACAAGTCTTTAAAGACTCGTGAGGTTACAAAGGGATAAATCGGCTTGAGGTAAAAAAAAGGGCCTTCGTTTAGTTCGAATTATATGTACGGTCGGTGGCAATGCCGGTACGCTTTAGCGCTATTTTTTTCGAAAGATAAACTAAATGAGTGTCCTTAATTTCTTAAATATATCTTATCAAAGGGATTTTTGATCTTTATTTCATACCTAAATAGAAAGCCAAGTGATTTGTTGAGAAAAGCGACATCAAAGATAGAAAAAAAACAAGCTGTCTGTTATTAACGTGCCACTTATTCATTTTGCATGCTTTTTCGTTCTGTACGGAATGATATAATTTACTAATGAAAAAGGTGGTACCTTCTATTGGACATCTGGTAGGCCTTTCCGATGCTCATTGTCATGTGCAGCTCGTCGCACCAAGATTTGGTGAGCCCACTTGGTCTGACGGCGATAGGGGGATCGCTGAGAGTGGCCCCAATATAAACTTGAGTGAGTCTGGGGATAAAAGCGGGAAGATAACCCAGCTGAGGCTTCATCATGCAGTGTTGTGTGGCACCCATCCGCAGATCGATTGGGCGACGTTAAAACAGTTGGCGGGATCCTCCTCTGAGTTGAGGCTTTCATCTGCTCTGCAGTGTGCAAGCTATTCGGGCGAGTATAGACTTTTCGAAGACGGCACGACCATCAACGACAGGGAGGTAACAGACATCATCGTTGGCTTTGGGGTTCATCCGTGGTATGTCCCCGAAGTGGAAGGTGAAAATGAGAATTGTACAGGGAAAGATCAAAATGCAAGCGCACGAAGCACAGAGAAGATGCTGTATGCTACTGACCCTGTTTCTCAAGTCGCTGTTAAACGAAAACATTCACATCTCAGTTACCCCCTTTCTCTCATTCTAGAGGAGCTGGAGGAGCTGTTACGAGTCTTTCCGAAAGCGATTGTTGGCGAGATAGGATTAGACAAGATGCATGGCCCTTGTGAAACTACGCAAGTTAAGGCCTTCCTGGAACAGATAAAGCTAGCAGCGAAGTATCGCCGTCCTGTATCAGTTCATTGTGTTCGCTACTATGGCCTTTTATTGCAGTTACTACAGAAGCTACCTGCAGAGCACACTCCTCCATCTATCATTCTTCACGGATTTACGGGCTCGTTTAGTATCGCAGAATCGCTGCTGAAGCTCAAACCTAAAAAGTTCAAGAAGGAATCGAATAAAACTATTAGGATTGCAGATCACTTATTTTTTAGTGTAGGCAGCAAAACTACTGGTTCCCTTAAGGACTTTGTTGAGCGGACTCTGCCGCTTTTGTGTAAGCCTAAAAAGCGTATTTTACTTGAGAGTGATTTGCATTATGAGCTTTGTGTACAAGCCCCACTTTTATCTGCGACCCGAGAGGGAGACGCACTGCGTTGCGAGACACAGACATCTTTGCTCCCACGTTTTCTGGATGTTCCCAATGCATCGAATATTTTAGCTTCGCTAGAGCAGATGTTGGATACAATCTATACCTCGTTGGTGTCGACTGAACTCAAGGACTGCCAAGGAAGTGCGAAGGATCCAGAGGCCAACAAGGAGGTCGTGAGCTTTCTTGAGGATGTCTTTGGCGATGCCTTTGCAGAGATTTTATAGGGCTACATTGTTCACCTTTTCTCTAACCCCTAAATCATCTCAAAAAGGATCGGCATGAGTTCAGAAAGTAGAGTGCACTATTTTACTCTTTCGTATAGTTCTGTTTTTGCGGTTTTTTTTCTCATATCAGTCTAATTCAGAGGGTAACGTCATGAAAATGTCCATCGCTAGCATAGCATGAAAAGTGAATTTTAGAAAGGGAGGAAGGAACAAAGATGATTTGGAAAAGTAATGCAAATCGTCATTATTTACCACATGTAATTTTTTTCCATATTTTTCCTTATGGTATGTTTGTGAGTTTTAATTTCCTTCACGTTCTGGGAACGCAAAAGAGGAATTGCACTCACACCACATATACTCCGCACCATATATATATATGCATACATTTTGTTAAAACAAAGCGAGCAAAATGAATAATTTTATTACACTATGCACTGTATTCAGAACATGAATTTGGAACGTGATGTGTCGAGTCATTTTCGGTAAAAAAATAGATTCTATTGGCACGATGAACATGATGAGGGTCTCAAAGTAATTTCTTTAATAGCTTAGCTCTAAATGCGAGTCCATTCCGCTAGTCTCTCTGGTGGCATATTCTTGAGTCTCCTTATAGTTCCTTCGCATACGGTAGTGGTCACCACAACGTGAAGGATAGCACTACGTTAAAGCGCCTTAAGGAAAGCATTTTTAAGGAATACTTCCCCTGCAGGAGTGATATCACGGGCTTGTCATGAAGCGGGTTGGTCATGAGGTGCCAAAACAATCTTACAACTTGTCGCAACGCGGTAAGTCGGAGTTACTCAGATCATTATCAGTGGGCTTTTTTCATGGTCTAAATCCTATCATATAATGTAGCAGTGGATAAAATGACACTCATTTTCGAAAAGCAAAGTGATGAGGCCCTAATACATTACTATGGTATCGCTACTAAACCTTACATATCTTTATGGACCGAGGGTCTCAGCAAGTTATTTTTGTTTTGCGTCCATGGGGAAGAGGAATTAATAAAAAGAGACAATTTGGTAGACGTTGATTAATCTAATTTATTAGACAATGCGATTTTGTTTACTCTGGTTGCTGAACGTTGTTATAAAATGTGGACTGCCTGGTTGTATCTTAACAACCATGCACATCATATTCTTTATTCACTACGAGGATATCTCTCATTATGTTGTGTTGTTTAATTTGTGATCTTTGTTATTTCTTTCCTTTTCGCTTCCTTTTAACCCATAGAAACTTCCCCCCCTCCCTAACCATTATTGCTTTGTAGTCATTGTTTTTGTTTTTCCCCTTTACTTGGCCTTAATTGTGCAGATGTATACTAAGAAAGTTTTTTACTTCCATGGGCACTATCGGAAATAAGGAAGAAAGAAATTTACAACTCAAAATGTCTGATATTTTAGCAATACCAGTCGTTTAATTGTATTCAGACGATTCATCAAATTATACATTGAAATTTTTATGTGTAAAGATTATTTTTTTCTTCCGTCTCATGTCACTTTTATGCGTATCTGGAGCGTGGAACGATTTATTGCCAAAACTCAATTAATTCAGATTTATATGCTTGTTCGACTTTATCAAAGTATTTTACTTCAGTTTGTCCTTTTTAATTCAGTGATAAAGAAATCATAAATATAAAGAAGGAACAGAAGCCTACATTACGGGTGCTGTCAATAAATTCGTTGGAAAAACTCAAGGCTTAAATCGGAGAATGCTGGTGAATGATAAGAGTTTTTTTTTTGAGGAATTCAATTATTAGCCTATGCAAAAATTAAAATTTTATTTTATGATTTGAATCATAAGGACCTCAATGAAAACAAAAGGTTGTCGGCCCTTGCGGTGAGGAATGTAATGATGATCATTGGTCTAGATGCCCCTTGTGTCTAGACATACTACTGGTGCTGGAATTGTGTTACAAGCCTAGGTTTATAGGAAACCGTTTCTCTATTTTTCACTTTACGCGCCAAAGCAGATGAATCCAAGAAGACGAAAATTGTTATAAAAATAGCAGAATATTTGAGAATACTTTGTCATACGCTAATTGCCTTCTAGAGAAGACGTTTAGAGGCGAGATTTTATTGATTAAAAACTTGGTTGCTCAGGTGGTTTTCATGATCTCGTTTTTTCCCATTGACTGAATTCGTTCACGTGTGCTTCTTTAAAGTACTACTCCAGGTTGGGGCATGCGAGAGCAAATTCGATTCAGAGTGAAACAGAAATAGATGCAATAACTAAAAGTGAATTTGTCTTCAAAAATGAAATGAAACAAATAGTCAAACGAGGGAGATAAGAATGCTACGGGGATTCATGCGTAATGCATACCTCCACAATTATTTATGAGTTTATATTGAACATCAACAAACTAAGCCAAAGATACTCTTATTTCTTTTTTTTGTTGCTATTCTTTAATTTTCAAAATTCTTGACATCGCAAAGGCCGCAAAAGGAAGACGTAATCACAAACTGTAAAGTAAAGCAAATACATTTCTGGGAATATATACCTTGAATCTAAATCCTTTCCGAATGTTTTGCTTCCTTTTTCTATAATATACTAAAGTAAGAAACTTTCTATTTATTTTTATTTGCTTAGTATAGATTTGCCTGAGGAACAATTTGAGAATTGCGTATCTCTGCGCCATCTTTGAGTTTCGATGAAATCAAGGGAATTATTTGGATGATTAATATTTGGATGTTTTTTATTCACAATTTTTTCAATTCCCCTTTCTAAAAAAAAAAATGATTTATTCACAGCGGCAACAATAATCAAAACATCGTGTATTCATTTGTTATTATTCTCATATAAATTCTTTTCCCTCATGATCGACTGCAAGAACAAAAAGTAATCTTTCCTCGTACTGTTGTTGTTTTTTGATGTGTAGGGTATGCCATCATACTTCAAATAATTCAATTTGTTCTATTAAAATGGGAAAAATATTTACGCCTTTTGAATAGAGGAGGAATAGCGAAATGTTGCATGGCAAACATATCTGCATATTTATTTTTGTTATGCTATCTCTAAAAGTTATTGCATGATTCTGGAACGTACGTAAATAAATAACGTAGTCCGAGGGTTCTGTAACACTTGCATAGACTTTCTGGCTTTAGTTTTAGGTTTACTAATTTAAAAATTTTGCTAGTGGTGGTGGTATACTAACATTGTTGGAGAAAGCCTTGATCGGACAGGTATTTTGGTATCCAAGTCTTAAAAAGAGCGAAGCCCCTTAAACTATTACTGTTTTTGTTCTTGTCAATAAGCAAAGAAAAGGATAATGTTTTTCTGGGGTGGTTATAGTTTCCAGATACCACATCGGGCAGAAAAGGAGGGACAACCGCCCTTAAGGTTTCCCATGTATGTACCACCTTGCATTTCCACTTTAAATGATACGTGTTCCACCACAATGAACGGAAATTTAGGGCCAGGTGGAGCTTCAGGTCTTCAGACAACACTGGAGCGAATTCTTCACCAGCGTCTGCAGATTCGTCTGGCGTCTTGCGGCGCAAAACATGCGGTTTTGGTGCTCGCGGACAGTTCGACTTCTACGTTTTCATCACAACCGCTGCCACATGGTGTGGGGGAGGTGTTTGAGGCTCCTCAAACATGCCATGGTTTTCCCACCTATGGAGGCGCAATGACATATGGCTTGGGGAGTAATCACAGTGGCCAGCTTGGGCAACACGTTGCGACCTATACGACGTCGCTCACCAATCTTCACTTGGAAGAAGTTATGGAGGGTACGATTGTGAGTGTGGCATGTGGTGAGCGGCACACATTAGTATGCACTTCATCTGGCTGCGTATACGCTTCGGGGGACAACAGCTGCGGTCAGCTAGGGCTACCAACACATATTGGTTGCAAGATACGATCTGGCTTCAATAATGGCGCAGCTTGTGTCACTAAATTTACTCAGATCCCTGGTATTGCACGCATCAAGCAAGTTTACGCAAGTTACAACGCTTCCTTTGCCCTTAATGCACAAGGTCAGCTCTATTCCTGGGGGAGTGCCATGGAAGGCCACCTTGGGCACAATGACAACGGCGAGCGAATTGACCCCAGTACTATGAGGGTTGTGATTGAAAATACCATTACACCGCGTCTGGTTCGCTGGTTCGAGCAGCATCACGTATCTTTGGTAGAGGTAGCTGTTGGACGTGCGCACATAGTATGTCGTAGCACCGAGGACATATATACCTTCGGGGAGGGCTTTTTTGGCAAGCTGGGACACGGTGATGTGCTGCCTAGGCTTCAGCCAACTCGCGTTAAATTTCCGCCGCGAAAGCAACCTGAGAGTCTGATTTCCATTGCGGCAGGTGATGACCATACGCTTGTGCTGAATGAAAATTCAAGCATCGGTTCAATTGTTTACTTTTTTGGCAGACTCGGGAATGGCGATGGGCAACTACACCCCCTTGTCGTGCCTATGCCGACTGCAGTTCCGCTCACACGCGTGTTTTCTAGCCGAGGCAATCAGTGCCTTGCGTTAAGCATGGAGGGCGTACTCTATGTGTGGGGTAAACATAGCTACCCCAAGGTGTATAATGGGACAAATTCTTCTGCACTACGGGCAAGGCCTTCTGCTGTTGAGGTACTGCTGTCTTATCGACTGACAGGAGTTGCAGCTGGTGGGACCTTTCTGATCGCATTTGCCTCTGAGAGGAAGACTAAGAATCAGGATATGAGTACGTGTGTTGCAAAGGATGATGAAGGTGAGATTTTCACGGGCTCTTTGGGGAAAGAAGGTCATGAGTGGGACGTTGTAGTCCCGCATGATGCCCGCGTAGGGGCCAATCATCAAGGTGATCCAGAGGAGGTTTACGAAGAGGGCGTTAGGCGCTTTCTACAACAGTACCTTGGGGAGGAGCTGGGGGCAGCTTATGCTGCAGGTCTGCCTGCAGCACCTGCACGAGCGCGTATCGTCAGGTATCAGTTTGAAAAGATTGGTTCTCACGGTTTAACAGTGGGACAGAAAGTGCGTCTTTGGATGACAGACCTTTATGCAATTGGTACAGTTTTAAAGATAGAGAATTCCCATAAGCCAATTTTGACCCGCGATGAATCCACATTTGGATTACTGCAGTCTGATAATCAGAGCAATGGGTTGAAAGCAGAGGTTAGCGATGACGTAAAAAATCAAAATGATGGTGTGTGTAATGTTGCGTCTCACCCAGAAGCAAGACAGAAAACAAGAGGTCCGGGGTGTCGTGTACGCATTGGATGGCAGCGGGATGATTGGAATAGCGAGGTCGTTACGCTGTATTCTGATGACGAAACCCTATCTGACGATAATCCTAATCGCTGGCAACCCTATTGGTTTGAACGGAATGACAGAAAGGAATATACAATTGCAAAGAGTTATTGATAAAGTGCAAAACTAAACAAAGAAATATACTATAGCAGATCATGTTGACATTTAAATCGTTTGCAATTCTTCAAGCAGCCTTATAAAAAAAATGAAAAGCCTTCTAACAGGATCAAATACTATCATTTTTTTTAGAGAGTTTATAAGAGAAAAAAGAAGAAAGCCTTTTTAAAAGAATTACATAATATAATATTTAATCTAAAGATACAACAAGTTAACGAAAATAATAGAATTCATACATATAAAATACACATATTAAGGAAATGGCAATTACAGGGAATCCATCTTCTAGAACCTTTTAAATATGCCTTCTCTATGCACAAAAGGTGTGACAAGGTGGAGAGATCAAAATAAAATAACAAATTTTATGAAAAATATAGAAAAAAGCAACTCATTTCAAATATTTAATTTCTCTATAAGCAGCCTGCGTTATAACCGTTGATGCAGCTTG